TGATAAAAAAAAAAACGATGCACGGGACCACGGTGTATGTAGACATTAAAAGAAAGCGAAAGCAAGGGTGGAAAGAAGTTACTCGTCGGCAATTATGCCGCAGACGAATGCCAGGGCATTCATCCACTTCCAGTATGCTTAATGTGTGTACGTTAAATGCGCGCAGGCAAGCATGCCTAGCCAAACAGCCAAGCTAACAAATTAACGCTGATACGTTAAATGTCTGGGCTGCAGAACAAGCCGGAAGATTCCGCATTTCTGCCTTGGAAAACAAACAAGATCGAGCACCGACACTCTGATTACTCGAAATCTTATGGGATCACGTGATGATCCTCTGCAATACGATCAGATTTTGTATTTGTCGATAACCTGTCCGGTAAATCCAGATACAGTAGAACCTCGATTATTGTCAGAAACTTCGAAATACAGATTAATGGAACAGAGAACGAAATTAGCAACAGCAATTTTTTATAATTTTTTGATCCACAACGTACAAGAGTGTTCTTAAAAAATTCTAGTTCATGTAAACAAACGACATCAATTTACAATTTACGATTTTTACTTTCAAGCAAAATGATCAACACATGAAAGCTTGTGTAAGAAAAAAAAATATTTACAACACTGCAAATCTCTCGTCTAGAGTAATATTTCAAAATCAAAGCATCTAGCGTTTTTCAGTACGAATATGTCTGAAGGTTTACAAAACAATATAACCTTCTTACTTAATAAAACTTCTTCCAACTTAATAACCTTCAAGCTAGAGAAATGAGTGCACTAAAGCGTCCAAGGGACAATTTTGAAAGGGTGCTAATGGCCAATGGTGATATACGTACACGAACAGACCACACAAATGATTCTTACCGCTTCGGTTGTATGCCGTCTTGGCACGACCGGCAAGAATCATTCGTGTATTCTGTGCATATATCGTTCACACGGTCTTTGTGCTTCAAGCGAAAGAGCAACGGAGGCAAGGTCGAGTCAACATCATGTTTACGTTCAATGAACGTGCAAAAACAAACGTGACCCGCATTCACGCCCTTATAAACCTGAGTAAGTGAAAGGCATGTGCCGGCCATTCTAAAATTTGTTTAGTGTGCACAGGACAATTTAGGGTGAACAGTTTCAATGCACAATGAAATTAGCAGCGCGATAAGCGTGAAATTTTGTTCAGGGACAATATATACATACACGAAGAAACGAACCCACTAGCTTTTAAAGAAAATATATTGTTACTTTTATCTTACTTAAACGTTTTTCCATAATGGTTAACATTCATTTATATAACGGTTCCATGCAATCTACATATTCAAACATGGAAGGTTAAATAAATAAAAAAATATGTAACATTCACTGTGAGAATAGTACAGAAAAAATAAGGATATCTGGTTTAAAAAGATTTTCCTTAAAAATTTTGCATGCGTTAAATCATAAAATATACTTAGATTGTTCGTGGTAAAAATAATTTAATACCCAACAGTCTAGTAAGAACATTCTTAGTATTTTGCAATCAAGATTTTATAGTCTTATTGCTCACTATGTTATTGAAAGTGAAGAATAACTTCAAACACTTGTATCTCTTGATTAAACAATTTGGATAGTAAATACTCATTTGTTTCCGATATTTATTCTACCGATTTAAAATTTTGTAAATAGGAAATGATTGCACCGTGTTTATAACGAATTATATCAATATTGGTTACAATATAAAATTTGAATAAATATCGAACAAAGCAGAACATTGAAATAATACGTTACCATTTTGTTGTTTTGAATTTCCATACGCACACAGATTTGGATATGCACTTGTACAATAACATTACGATATCGTTTGTTGATGCAAAAAATTCGTGCACCGTGCAACGACTCGGCAAACATGGTTAAACCGTTGGCTGCCAATGTTAAATGAAGAAGATGTCATACAGAATGATAATATCGCGGCTGGTAGTCGAAACATGCTCACTTTTCAGCTCGCGTATAAAAAAAGGAAAACAAACTTCTACCCAACAAAAATCACTTCACTTATTACAAAACAACGAAGAAGTTAATTTAGCACGAAACAGGTACCACGTTGCAGGGCGCGTCCAAACGGTTTCACTTTCGTCACATTTCGAATTTACGATATGTGAAGAATACATCGATATCGATATGTATCGAATTTACGATACATTCGATATACACTAGCTATACAATATTCCTCGATTTTCCTTATAATAGAAGTTTTAATTTTTTTTTTATTTGTAAAGAAGCATTCAAACATAACGATTAGTATAAATACCATCTTAGATAATTACTTTTTTTCATCGATAAATTCCGTAGATTTCAGACCTCATTGTTAGGTTAGATCTGTTACCACAACCAATAATATCTGTTCATCAAAGCGTAACTGTATGTTGACGACAAATATTTAGAACGACTTTGCATTTAAATACGAAACAGTTTCTCATTGAATCTAATCAGATAATGAATTAATAATGAAAATTTTATTTCCCACTAATCGATATATTCATAATTCTCTCGCGATCGATTTTCTATCTAACGTTCCGATTAGCTATGCCAGCAGCAATTTACTAATAACCTCATTGGTCGTTTACAAATTCAAATAAACAAGTAACGTAAAAACAATAGTTTCTTTCATGGAGCAAATAAATTTGCGAGTTTCGATCGCGAAAAACTTTCTCTACGATTGTCCTCGCCCTTCATAAATCGTACAAATATATACGTTGAATCGAGAACAGGTGGGTACAACATAAACCAAAATAAAAGAAGCAAATCTAAGGTATCCCAAAAATATCGTTACATTATTGACATATGAAATTTGAACCTTACCTAATCACAGCAACATCTATTGCGTTTTCTATTGCACCGTGGTCCTCGTGTTATCAGCTATTTGTTGATATGTGTCAATTTCCCAGCACGCACACACACATGTACACGTAAGATACACACACGCACCAGTTACGATATGTTGTGTTTGCACTTTAACGGAACACCGCCGAGAAAAACGTGTGACAGCGATGATCAAGGACGGTTCCGTGGTTAAAGAAAAGGAGGGAAGCACAAAATTGACGAGCTGCAGGCTGCGTGCCGAGCAGCCACCCTCACGGTAGGCGCACGAGCCTATGACTGAGCCCACCACGAGCTCACCGGGACTGATTGTCGGTTACGCGCACGTACGTTCGGACCGAATCGTCCCTTACGAACATATCACACGACCTTTCACGAATCTTGGAAACTCTGTAACAGACGCGAACTAAACTATATATTCAGACAACACGCATACTTTTAATATCAATATTAAATATTAGGAATTTGCTGAGAAATGACTGGCAGTTTGAACACGGTACGGTGACTGGTGTCAGTTTGAATCTGGAAATCTCCCGCTATAGATGGCGTAACTGTAACGAACATTAATTCAGAAATTATAATATATTCATTGTGTTTGTTTACATAATTTTTTATGAAAACGTTGAAACGTTATTTTACTGTGTAATTAGAATTCTTATTCTTATCAATGAACTAATGATAGATGTATCTTTTATTTGAAATATTTATGAAGATACAAAATTTATTTCTTGTTTATTACATTCATTATTCTTTCAAAAAATCTTGGGCCTGGTAGGAAATGTAATATATTTATGTTTGTAGAAGTGCAATATTTTTCTCAAAATTGTGTTTGTTGTTAAAAAACTTCGTTGATGACGGAGTGATTGGGAAATATGTGTATGTAATAATTCTAAATGTTTGCAAACTCAGCCCTTATTTAATTTCGAAATTGGTGTAACATTTAAAGAATAGAGCATACAAATTTTTATATTCTGTTTAAGAAAAGCTTCTGATACACTACGGTCCAAAACTCATTTAGCATCAAATTTTTACTTCAAACATATTGAACTACTGCTTCAATACGTTTTATACCTTTAATTCGAATTCATAAACAACTAATACATTACTCAAACACAATCCCATAAATGAGTTATCAACTTCTACAAATAGGGAATTTCAAAATAGCATATAAGTTATATTCAAGTAAAAGAAATGATACTTAGTTTGCAAGAATTTTTTATTAAAAGGAAAAAAATTTTTTAAGTTCTTGTGGCAATTACGAATGAAGACTTCACAGCAGAGTTTACCATACTCGTTTTTTAATTAATTCTTCTCAATCAAATGAATACGAGTACAGATAATTTACAGCCAAGTGAAAAGTATACGCGTATATCATCGCAATTACATCGAAGATACAAGATGGAATAAAATAAATGTAGACAAAGGAAACAGCAACGAATACGATTGCGAGTTTGTTTTTCCTTGATAGTAAATACATATACACATAATAATATAAATAGTCAATGGGTTTCTATATTTGGCGTAAATCACTTTTAAATTTTCTATAAACTACGCTATAATGCCGTATACGCGCTTTGCGAATTCATTGTGCTTACGATAAAAAAGTACAATCGTTATACATATATTCCCTATGCTCGAGTCGGTTCTAATACGAAAATTTCTCGATAAATTACTTCATTTGCGCGCGATTTACGAATTACAAATTACGAAAATGAATAGATGCGATAATACTTAAATAAGACTTTTATAAATCTCTTACTCGATAATCTTACTCGTTATGTACATTGTTATTGTAAGTAGTAGTAATTGCGTTACAAAATATGGAAATTGTAGCGGGATTCACCACAGAAGGTATATTCAAGCGACAAAGGGAGAAAGAGGCGTATGAACTATTCTATACTGCACGTAATTCCCTACAAAAATAATTTCACGCGCGAAGCGATACACGTTGAATCCATTCTCTGGTTGTTCTTACATTCAACGTTGTTTTCCATTTTTTTTTTTTTTTTATCTAATTATCACCATTCTGATTGTATTGCTCTTGTAACACCACGCACGATATTTTACAAAAATATTTACTCTACCATTAGTCGAATTACGTTTGAGCAAGTGTATGCAACAAGCTATACAACAAATTATTCCGTGTATGATCATTCGCACTATCGCCCTCTGTCACTTGCCACAAGAATTTTGTGCATCGTTAATACAGTTTTCTTGGATACAATTGCGCTTCATTGTTTGCTTATGTCCCGTCGAAGAACGAAGCTCGTTTGCTCTGCTACTTAGTTCAGTTCGATACTTGTACTACGTACAATAATGGATATCAAATATAGAATAAACTACTTAAATGCATTTGGCATGTCTCGTTTATATGCGAAGCCCGCATGTTCTAATCTGAATTATTGACCACTACATCAACATGTTCAAAATCTAAGAACAGATGGAGTCACCATCTTGGTTGAATCGACTTTGCACTTACATTATAATAATTATTACAACTTTGGACTCTTTCGACGGATTAGTCCCGCGTCGATAGTTAACTCCCGATATATAAATACAACTAATTACGATCATTTTGTCCTACTGGTCGTTACAGTAGGATTTACAGTCGACCTGACATGAGCACTCTGCTTAATAGGTTTACTTCTCGTGGCAACTACTGTACTATCCATAACTGATCTTCGACTTTTCACAGTGCTCTGTTCATCGAGTTCTGAACCATTCTCTTTCTTTCTGTTTACCTCCAATGCTCTTCCATTGCTTTGCCGATCACCGCGATTCGCTGATACATTTTTACACGCACTTCTCGCAGCCTTCATATCGCTTTCATAATTTTTCCGCGACGGTTGTGGAGTATAATATAAACTGAACCTCTTGGACTTTACCGTTGGCTTCTGTTTCTCGTCTCGTAATTCGTCGGTAGAACTAAATTTTCGACTTATTCTGGTAGTAACAGAAGTTAATTTATCACTGACTAAAACAGACTCGGGCGTCTTCTTTGTGGAGGATGGTAGGAAACAACTGAATCTTTTATTTTTTACCGTTGTCCCTGAATCCGTAATACTTTTTGGTGTACACTTTTCACGTCTAAGTTTTACATCATTCTTCGTGTATTTCGATTCATCTGGAGTTTTCGTTAAAGTCTTCTTGTTGTTTAAAAGATTCTGCGTTTTGGAGCCCTTCGAAGCAATCATTTTTAATGCTGTTGGTGTCTGTAATATTTTCGTTGCAGACTTATCCTGGTTCGTTAATGATGAAGTTTTCAGATGTGAATGCTCATTTACAGAACCATTTTCATTTGGATCACGCATATTATCATTCTTTGGTTCCCGATTATAAGAAAAGCAAATATTTTCGAAACTATCGGTTGACTCCATACTTTGAGTCGAACTCGATCGTTGCTCCTGTGTTAATTGTGCAAACTGAATATTAACAAAACTATCCGATGTTTCTATATCATTGCTGGAACTACCAGTTGAACTACAAGTCGACGATAAAATCATATTACAATTTTTCATGTCATCGTTTTCAAGTTTTGGAGCAATATTGTCAGAAAGTATTAAATTTTCATAAAGATGTTTTCGCCTATATTTTTGTTTATTAATACTTAAATTAACGGATTTAGGTGTTTCACATGTACACACATTACTGTTGGTTGATATGTCCAATGTACTCTGCACGCTAGAATTAATTTCACTACAGGAATTTCTTTCATTGAAAGAATATATATTTTCTTCAACTGGAGTTGTATCACAATTCACAGTAATTTGAACCGCCGTTGTATTTTGATAACAACGTATTAACATTGGATTTTCGGGAATACTGCTCCGAGATGAAGTCTCACTATTCGATGATTTTAAACGATATTCGTGAACTTGTTTCTCATTTAAATTGTTTATGAGATTATTCATAGACTGACTAAGAGTATGAATATCTTGTAAACAATCTGCACTTAGAGATACAGGTTCATCATCGCTTCGATTTCCATTGTTAAAGTCACATTCGTTGAGAGTAAAATTTCGTCGATCTCGACCAACGGTATGTTGTGATTCAATACTTTCTGATTCTACAGATGACGAAACTTCATTCCACTTGCTTTCTTTGCTGTCGAGTATACCATCAATTTCGTCGTGCGAACTGCCGTGCTGTAGTTGATTCTTGAAGTCGAACTCAAAAGTTGCTACTCTTATCGGCTTACACTGCTGATTCCAGTGTTGCTCCGACGGGTTGGTAGGGGTTGATACTGTGGTCTGCTCGCCTCCTAGAAAGCTCTGTTGATATACAGAGGAGGGACAAAAGAAAAAAAAAAGCATTGCTACAGATACAGCAAACCACTACTGAAGCCTTCCTAGCGTAGTGTTGGAATAGCCAAGAATAAAGCTATATAATCGGTGAGTATAATATTCTATATGGCAGAAAATTGTGACTTATACATAATGAAAGAACTATATAGAACTAACAAGCAAATTAATAAGAAAGTGTACATAACAAAAATTTAATACCTATACTGAAATTAAAAAAAGAAGTTCACCGGAACTACTGCAAAAATCATTTTTATTGTGTTACTTTAAATTTAAAAAAAAAAAAGGAACATAAGCCATGCAGGGAAACAGAAGTAGGTTTATCTAATAAACTAATAGGTAATGACAGTTACCGCTAGCCATGGATGGTCAAGTACATCTTCTGCGGTGAATCTCAATTCAGGTTGTGCCTGAAGCATGTTTGAAATCAGCTGTTTGGCAGAATCGGATACATTATCCCAATACGGGGATGTGAATTCATATTGGCCACTCAGAATACGTTCGAATAATTCTTCCTGTTCATTTTCAGGTGACACGAATGGTGGAAAACCACAGAGTAAAATATATAATATTACCCCAGCAGCCCATACATCAATCTAAGGAAATTTAAATTTATTTTCATCCTTATTCTTCTGGATACAAATGAATACATAAATCGGTATCTTTTTAAAAATCAGTATACCTTCAACCCATATCCAGTTTCTGCGAGAATTTCCGGTGCTACATACGTGGGTGTACCACAAACTGTGTACAATGGTTCCCTTACAACTTGAGCTAATCCAAAGTCACCTAACTTCAAACATCTAACATGACTTCCATCCATCTCTACTAAAAGATTCTCAGGTTTAACATCGCGATGAACTATATGGTGTATATGTAAATAAGCTAATGCGGATGTTAAATGTCCAATCATTACGCTGGCTTCTGCTTCAGAGAATTTTGTTGCAGCAGCAATTGCATCAAATAAATCTCCACCCTACAATAACGTAAGTGTCTAATTTTGTGTTGCTTCATTTTAAACACCTAGACTAAAAGGTTTTCTAAAATGTATATACCTTTACAAGTTCCATGACCAGAAACAACTGATCAGCGGTCTCTTGCTCCGCGATCAAGCTAATAATATTTGGATGACAAACTTGTCGTAAAATTGCCACTTCACTAGCCAACATTGTTTCTTTCCCTTGACACTTATACTTATCTACAATTTTCATTGCATATTCTGCAGCTGTAGACCTAAACAACATTTTTCAATAGATTTCCCAATAGTCGTAATCGTTTTCATAGATTTTTAAAACACTTACTTATGAGTGCAATGCCTAACAATTGCAAAATTACCATCTCCAATTACACGACCAACTGTATAATGTAAACGTAATGGTTGTGGCAAAATCAATGTGAAAGGACTAGGTGGACGCACTTGTGGTGTAGTAAGCACCTTTTTTCCAGATTTACGTGGCATTCTAGGCATTGGACCACTTTGTCTTTTTGATGACCACAGATACCTTCTAAAGCTCTGAACACTTTTAGATTCCTCAAAATCTAGTTCGAAATCTTCTTGGCTTGCCTTTTCAGGGCCATAAGCCACAAAGATATCATCACCTTCAAAAAACTGTTCTAATGAGTTAATTTGTTGACCTGATAATGTATAAACTTTTCTTACTGCTCCAGAATCTAATTTAACTGCATCTGTAATTGCTTCCATTGCATGTTCTAAGCTTGGAGCATTTCTCTTGTTTAATAAAAGACGTACAACTTTACGTGGTTTTGTGCCATGTCGGATTAATGTAATTATTCTTGCTTTAACACATAATGGTATTGCACTTATTTGTCTACCAGTACCTGCCGGAGATTGTGGTAGGCCAGATAAAGAACTGCCTCTTCTTACTTTAGTGGACGAATATTCCACTTTCTTAAAAATTTCACCTTGTCCAGAAACCACATAACATTTACCATCTTCCAAATCATTAATATTCTGAACTTTTTGCCCATCCATAGTATAAATTGCCCTTACACCGTTAGGTAAAGTAACACTTGATAATAAAGCTCTTGTTAAATCTGAAGCTAAACTATCAAAATTGCGATATCTCTCTGGAGTCACAGCCATCACAATACCGGTATAAAATTTATCTCCATTTCTAAAAAATCTTACTCTCTTTGCTTTCTTAGTTGGTGGAGTTCGAAGAACATTTAATGAATGCCGTGTGTTAATTTCCAATAGTCTTTCATCTAAAGTCACTATAGTAGGTGTATTTATTTCTCCACTTCCTGAGAAATTGCTGTCACCAGATGGTGAAGCAGCCTGATTCAATGGTTCTTCCATCATCCTAAATACAAAATACATTTAGTATGTATGAGAAACGACTTCTAAAATGATTTTGGACTACACCAATAAAAAATTACTACAGATACAAATGAAAAAGAAGCAACTCTTTTAGACTACACATATGAGGAAAAGCAACTCAAACGGAAGGTTTTGGTGATGGATAATTAAAGACTGAATATATGTATATAATAGATCAAATACATTTGGTAGTACAAAATTATATTGAAGCAACTTTTAATGTACTACTATTACAGGTCTTGTAAAACAAAACGAATAAAGAGTATTAAAAAATCATTATTAAGGTATAAAATTTAAAAATAGTCAACAATTTTTTATATCTTCATCGTAGATATTCTAAATCTGTATACGTTACAATTCGGCAATAAAAATATTTATTAATTTTCCTAACCTACTTAACCTTCTTTAAATTTTTTTATATGCACGTAAACATTACATATGAATAAGCAGCCATGGGTAGAGTCATTTGTTAAGAATTCATATTTAACAACAATTAGCTGACCCACTTGCACTCACCTGCTCGCTGAGCAGAATGTATTGCTAAAAAACAGATGAAAAGCCAACTAATGAGTGAATGAATCACCACTGAGCTGACATTTTCATAGCAACCATGACGCGTACTAGATAATATGAGCGAGAAATCTCACTTTCGAATTACAATGAAAGAATTTCACTTTCCGTTACACCTAAATTGTATATAACTGTTGCACTTTACGTTTCTATCGCAACACACCGATTTTTGTTTTCTACGCGCAGAATAGTTTGACCTGCCAAACTCTATAAATAAAGTGGCTTGTCAAAGAGAAACCGGGAGACCGGAACCGGAAATGTAAAGAAATTAGAAGGGTGGGACATGAGCATGAAAATGTAAACAAATTACTCATGATAAATTAAGTTATAATAATTCTTACCTATTTAATGAATATCTCTGAGTAGGATTTGTATTGTTCTTAAATCATGTGTTCCTTCCCTGTCGCTTAAATGAATACCTGAATTTAATAGAGCAAAATTCTGTAAATTTAAATGAAATACTTTACTATCTGTTTAAATATTTAACAAATATTAACTGTCAATAGGATGTGTTATGGATTCTCAATTACTTGGCGCAAGTTAAAAATCCACGGTGAACAGAGAAAGGAATTTTCTTCTAGTTAACGTAATTTAACTGAACACTTGTTATAAGGGCGTTTTATATCACGGAAAAAATGGAATGGAATTGATAAGAAATTTAAAAACCAGTCGGTAAAATGTAATGTCCGTTGAAAGCAATAGAGGGCACTGTGATCATCAAAATCGTTTATTTTGTATCGTCACATATATGGTATACTGAATGTTACTATGAAATATTTTGTACACAATAATATAATGAATACACATTTTCAGCAACTGACAGTTACAGTATCTATAAAAAATATTTTAACAAGACTTGCTATATTACATTTTCGATAAAAACTTATAAAAATTAAGATTCTTCAATTCCTCTGATAGCCGTGATCGTCTAGTGGTTAGGACCCTACGTTGTGGCCGTAGTAACCCAGGTTCGAATCCTGGTCACGGCAATGTCTCGACAATGACATTGTCACGGCAGAGAGTTTATTTTTTCCCTCAAATCCCGTATTTTTTTAATCACACAATGTTTATCCAAATCATATACCCTTCATATTACACATATATTGATAGCATTGCAATAAACAAAACATATTTTAACATAGATTGATAAATTAATAAACATTATTTGGATATTGTATTGCCTTCAGCAAACAAATTAATATTTTCCAAAACATCCATTTAAGATATTCTGCCATGATTATTCTAACATTCAAGTGCATTGTACTAAATTACCCAAAACATTACACTATAAATCATCATTCTATTAAATTGCTCAGCACAGATTACTCTTTCAATGAAATCAATCAATCTATTCTCGAGGGTATTGTCAAATGTTTTTCAGTTTAATTCACGGATTAGTGTTTGTAATTCTAAGGAATTCAGAGTATGGGAAATTCCGGAGCCAAAGGATCTCTATTTGAAAGACCTTCGGAATACCTGGATGCGCGGTCCGTTGATCCGCACCTGGCGAAACGGTCAAGAGAAAGACAGACATAGAAGCGATCCCAGCCGGTGTGTGTCAGTAACCAGAGACAGGGCCGTAGCACGGCAGTACCGCGGCAAAGGTGGCTCGGTTCAGTGGAGGGAGATAGCACAATAGCGGGCGACGTTCTCCAGAAGAGCCGCAGTCTCGTTCGGTGTGTGTTTATTGGCGGTCGTAGTAGCGCGGGTGGATTTGTTACGTGTAAAGGAGCGAAGCGTACGTACAAGTCGCGCTCAGCTCGCTAACAGTGGATGGAAAGGAAAAGCGTGCGTTTTTCTTCGCGATTCGACGTAAACTAAAAGGGCACGCGGTTACAAATGCGGTGACCGAGGATGCCTAGTGAGTGAACGTGCAACAAGAGACGCCGTGAGTGCGGGTGTCCTCGAGCTCGACTGCAGATCTTTAGACCGGTCAACGAAAATGCGGGCGCGATACGTCGTGGCAGGTGAGTAAAGTCCCGAGCATGTTCGCCATTCGTGCGTCGTTCTTATTCCCGTGTTTCTCTTTGCCCGCCGTTTGTGTGCGTACTTCGCGCGGCAATCAACGATCTACAACACGCGTATAACGTAAATCTCTTTCATTCTCGTCGAATCGTGTACAGTTACCATCGATCGATATTAAAAACCATGGATCAACGAACTTTTCAAATTCTCGATGCCTGCTAGATGTTTGTGACTTCCGTGACGGTTAAACCACGCTACGTAACGCGGTCCCGAGTTTCTACGTGGGGATTCAGACGCAAATGATGTGCTACCTCGACGGCGTAGAATTCATGACAGGTGGGGAGGCCGTCTTGCCAAACCGTTCCGCACACCTGATCGTCTACCTGAAGTACTGTTATATGTCCGTATATACTAGGATAGTCTAAAATAAACGTCGTTCTTCATGGGAAACCGGTATACTCTTGTGAGTGTTTCGACTCGTTCCTTTATTTTCGGGACGAGCACCAGTTCGACTCGGGGTCTTTCCTAAACAAGCATTAACCGTTCATTGTGCAAACATCATCCGTTTAGTGACCCTGTTCATAAATTTACCAAGTTTCTTGGTCGAACGAACAGAAATTCATTGTAAAATAATTGCTCGACCTTTACGTCGGAGAGACAGTGGGAAATTGAAATCTCCCAGCGTTCAAGTCACTTCGACGATTCTTGGTCCTCTCCCCCTCCTTTCGAACGTGTCGCCGCTGATCCACCGAATCGCGTAGTGTCACGCTTCACGGGCAAAAGGAATTAAAACTAGGCATTGGAAGGATCGATAATGTTGGTGCAATGACCCCCATAGGCCCTTCACACGATCGTTCAATCTTTTCGCCTAAGGATTGATCCGTTCGTAAAATTACTAGGTTATACAAATAAACTTCGACCACGCGTAACGAATTAAGGCGATAACGGGACACACGCTCTGTCTCTTCTTGAGCCTACGTAATACTTGGATTCGTAAACCAGACCACCGGAATATCGATCGTTTTAAATCTCATATCTCCCGTTGTTCAACGTTTCCCACTTTGCTAAGTATACTCCCGTCGCGTAGCAAAACAGTTCAGCCTAAAACTGGTACACTTTTATCTAATACATACTTCTGTGTCTCTGCCAGCCATTAACGAGCGTACACATCTCGCGGCTCACTTTCTTTTCGTGCCATCTCTTGTATACGCGTAATTTCCTTTCGTGAAAGCCTCTACGTAGGTAAACGCTAAACGTCAGAGATTAAATACAAGACATCAGGAGAGAATCAGTTTCTAGATCGTGCACTCGCGATTAATGGTAATTAACCAAAGTAATTCTCAAAATTAACGAGGACCATTAAGAGGAACTTTTTTTGCGCGCGAACGGGTTATCAACTTCGGTGGTGTGGTTCCTTGGGCGAAAATGCGCCGCCGAGCGTGATACTGGAAAAGGTCGGCTACGAATTTCTAGGTGAAGGAAAAAAAACCTTACTTCGCCCCGTCTAGCGCAGGTGGAAGCCACGTCGTTGCATTAACGTTGGCCCCCTCGCTTCACGCTCAGGTGCGTGCCATGAGCAATACACACACACACACACACACACACAAAAGCATTTCTATCCCCCCACGTATAATATGTGTGTATATAAATGCAGTGCGTCAACGGAGGCACCGCAATGTTCGTTCGTTATATACCTGCCGGACGATGCCTGGCGTTATTGCGTTAATCGGTTTCCGTTTCTTCTTATCGTCAGCGAAAGAAGACTCTCGGGCTAAATTCCGTAACAGGTGCCCCCGCCTTCCACTGGTATACGAAATTATACCGGCGTAACCGGAGACTGCTGACATTTTGAATTCGGTAGGGAACTGTGTACTCTAAAATGCGTTTGAAATTTTTAAATCTGTTGAATTGAATAGTAGTGAAGATTTTTTTTATTAAATTGATATGTTGAAAGGGGCTCTCTAAAAAGGCAAAGTATCATTACAAAAAATGTCACAAACAATTATTGGTACCTTTAATTACCAAGTATAGATGATTATTAGTATCGGTTTTTGTTTATTAAACTAGGTCTAACCAACTCTGATCAGTATAATGCTTTGAAAATGAACAATTAAACCTCCTTTTTACTGTTTACAGTTTATATTCTTTCACTTAATCTATGTTTATAGTGACGTTTATGTTAGGTTTCGGTTACAAATTTAACTTGCAATTAAAGGTACTTATAATTGTTTGTGATATTTTTTATAATGATACTTTGCCTTTTTGGGGGGCCAGTTTCAACATAATAAAGTTTAAAGGCAATCGGAGATATCAACCGAATTTTATACTATTACCATTCAGTTTATTCGATTAAAATGGATTGTAACCCAGAAGATTTATCTGAACTTGGAGATGGAACATTTAGCAAAAGAAAAAGAAGTTATATAATATTAAAATATTCAGTTTATTCGATTGATCGTTACTTATGGAGTCGGGAGAAGTTGTGACCTAGATTATTTCCTAAGTACACAGATTTATTTTGCATTTAACTCTTTGAAGCACAGAGTTTTACAATAAAAAATGCGTTGTTGCATAGAAATGTTATTTTTATGAAATGTGACAAAATAGTTTTATTTTCAAACGTTCAAGCACTAAAAAGTGGGACATTTTTCATACCACTATGCTTCAAATAATTGAGCAGTTTACAATAAGTTCGTAGTTGTTCGATTCTTTATCATCTAATTTCTAATGTTTTTCTAAAGTATCACTTATTTGACTTCACCGTGGCGTATGGGGACTCGATTTCTGATCGTAATCATTTACTGTAGGAATGTTTCAATATTAGAATATTTAATATATTAAGTATAAAATTAGAATGATAAATTTAATACAGAAGCCATTGTTTTCTCGACTAGTTATCATGATGATTATGTAGAGGTATCAATTATGTATAGCATCTCTACATAATAGTAAAATCATGTGTTTATAGAAAATAAATTGTGAGCGAATAAATTGGATTAATGTTTCTAACTGACATCTACATAATGACGTTCGATTTTGAATGCATATAATAAAATATATTCTTTTAAAAACAGTTTGAACAGCAAATTCTAAGATTTCAACGAAATGTTCTATTAATTAAAATAGGAGAATGAGATTAATTTCTTCAAACGAGTTAACTTATTCTCATTTATGGTTATCTTGATGATAATGCGTTCAATTTACACGTTTCTTTATATACATCAAGCCTGCCCTTCGACTTTTTCCCCAGAATTTATGGCTTCCGCGTTGTTTATATGTTATAAAAAAAAGAGCTTATGTTCACGTAACTCAGCACTCACAGTCTTGATATTGATTTACCGAACAACTATGCCACACTGGCACATTCGTTATAAAATTTATGAACCCTAGAAACTATTCAACTCCTTCAGAACTGTATTTCATTCACTAAAATTCTCCGTTGACCAGAGTAAAAAAGTAATTAAAATCACTCTGAAAATATCAAACTTTATGTTCGCCTGAATTTCACAAAGAAATAAATCTTCCGCCTAAACTTTGTAAAGTTTGAAAACTTATACAGAAAAATCTCTATATGTCAAATATTACGTTACTAATAATATATACAAGCAATTCATCCCTATATTATTTCCTACCAAACAAACGTAAAGTTTTACAGAAAACATTTTAGTAACTCATATTCACCACCGTCGAAAGACCAATCACATTGATTATCACTAGACTGCGGATTTCATGAATTTATAGCCTATAGGGTTCTGTGAAATACAATAAAAGACAAAACTTTTATTGGATCCAACGAGTTTCTATTTTATTTCGAACCCAATAAGGCACTTAACAAAAAAACAAAATTCCTACATTTTCTCCTGTCTTTATAAATCACTTTAAAAAAATGTAATTTTGCATAAAAATCCTCAGTCTAATTATCACAATCGGATAAATTCTAGAGACGAAATTCACGTTTTGGAGAGAAAAAATGTTTCGCCTTTACATGATGGATGTTTTCATATAAATTACTCGGCCATAAATCAATCAGAGCGCGTTATTCCAGTTATTCCCTTTTTCTCTCCTTCTTTCTGTCGCTCTCTCGGACTCTCATCTTCGTCGTTTTCGACTGGAATTTCGCCGTCTCTCTGGTTATCACGGAAGGATACCCAAGCGCAGAGGATAGGCTACATTTCGATTATTTCAGCTAGTCGATTCCGGGGGCCGTATGCCTCGATTCCTTCTTCGGCGTTATACGTGCTTTCGACGAGTGCGCAACATCGACATTCCAGAAGATTGCATTTTTTCGGGACCATCGAGGCGCGACGGAACGGAGCGAACGAGAACGTACAGCTCCGATTCAGTCCGGTTGTTTTATTCGTGCCGGTGCGTTTTATACCGTGTTTCCATCGAGCCTTTGTCACGACAGTGTTGTCGTCGGGTGACAATTCCGTTCCCGAATAAAGACACCCCTGAAAATAAATCACGACCGGTAATGTAGTAATAACGATAACGAGGGCACAGAGGCAAATAGGATTGTCCGCGTCGACGAGCAATGGAAATTTTACGATCAATTTTATCATCATCTGTTCATGTTTCATTTATATGGACATCTTCCATTTACTTGTGAATTAATAAGTATTGCAAAATAATAACGACATATTATCTGCTGGTCCTTGTTTACATTTGATGAAAGTAAGGACTATGAAAATACATCAATGGGATTACAGATAAATCTTTACAATTAATTATTGTTTCGAAAGTACATGAACAAATGTATGAGTTACTGTATATATATATGTACATGTATTTTCACATTCCGTAGGAAATCTTGGATCTTTCGTGTCCAAGACTAATCGTTTTAACGTTTTAAGCTTTCAAAAAATCTGAAAGTACCCTCGGATACTTATCAAAAGTCTCTACCACGTTATACAATAGTTCGTTAACTCAAATGTTTATAACTTTGTTCGATAAAAATGAAAATTCTGAGGAGAGTCTGGGATAAAATAAAAATCCCACATTG